CACGAAGCCGCTTAGCATCCTCCAGCGTGAGGTTCTCAGGAAGCTTCCTCTTCTCTCCTACTGGGGAGGATGACAAGGTCACCCAGCGATAGCAGGAAATGTGGAAGGAAGGGTGAATGGGGTGAGAGGTCAGGGGTCCAGTACCCACCAGGCATGGGCTCAGCCCCTGTAGAATCCAGGCTCAGGGAGCTGTTGCTGCCTCCACCCATGGTGGGACTAAAGATGGGGGTGCTGGGAACAACCGCTGCACTGACTGTTGCTACAAGAGAGAAGAAATCAAGGACCGGGAGTGGAGGCTATGGCAGGGTCTTCAAAAGGAGCTGGCCCTTCAGCCCTATCTGAGCCCCCAGGTCTCTCCCTACTGCTACCACACCCCACCACTCTGTTACCCCAGGGGCAGCAGACCAGCCAGGGTGACCAAGCAGACCCTGCAGTGCTATTGTGCAACATACCTGGCCGGGGCACCAGCTGGGTCCCCTCTGAGGGTGGCATGGTGAAGCCAGACTCCCAGATGGGAGAATTTGCCCCGTAGATCTCCTCCTCAAGCATGGACAGGAACCTGTGGGGAGGGAACAACTGTCCCACGACTCCAGCCTTCAACCCCAGAGGGATGAGAGGCCAGCCAGCCAGACCCTGTTCTCAGTGAGTGGGAGCCTGTCAGAGGGGAGGACAGCTCCTGCTGTCTGGGAAGGCCTAGTACGTAAAGGGAGGTCAGTTCCCTGCCTGCTGAGGCCCTCAGAGAACATAGAAGGACAGGACACAGCCAGGAGAGAGGTTAGCGACCCAGTTTTGTCATGATGTATGGCATAGGAGAAGGGGTCTGAGCTGATGCCACCCTGTGCTGTGTGGCCAGGCAGGGAACCCAGTCACCTGAATTCCCTTACTCCACATCTGTATCAAAATGGTTTGGGAATCACCTGATCTTGCCACCTCTTGCTGTCACATGCTTGTTCCTGGCAAAGGTTTTTGATTAGGGAGCTACGACCCACACTCAAATGGGAGGAAAATGAGGCGCAACAGAGGTAAATGTATATAGAAAGGAGCAGAGCAAGGATGGGAAACAATTTCACTGCAAACTCTGACTTCTTGGAGCTCTGTGGAGGGAAGGGTTCTGAGGCTATATCCAGGTGCCCAATAGGAAACTATTAGTAACAATCTACCAGGGGATTGGGAGGGGGTAGCGTTAGCTCGGGCCATGTACCTGCCATCCCCAGACTAGCACATACTAGCAAGTAGCTTCTGGGCCATGGGTAAATCTGCCAGGTAGACACCCAGATCCCAGAAGGCCCATGGAGGGAGAGGAGGGACCAATCCAGGAAGCCTTCCTGGAAAAAAGGGGACATCAGCGAGGACATGAATTTGGGGCAAAATCCCAACAGGCCAGACCGAGCCTTACTTGGGGAAGTGAGTGAGGATAAGAGTCCTCTTCTCAGGCACCAGCTTGTCCTTCTCCACTCGGAATTTTTCCAGTAGCTGCCGGCGGGTGACCGTGAAAATGGATCGAAGAAGGCTTCGGCCAAAGACATGGGTGGTCTCGTATCGGGGGAGGCTGTCACAGCTCTGAGGCACATGGCAGTAACAGAGCCATCTGGGGGAGGCAGAGTGATAGGTGAGGGTGGAAACCACCCTCGGGTCTTATAAGCCTCCTCTCTGAGGCCCTGCCTGGACTCACCTGGTATAATTGACCTTGTAGGTAGCCACATCCTCAGACTGGGACCGCTGCCGGAACTGAGCAGGTGTCTCCAGTTTCCAGTAGTTAAGGCAGAGCAGGAACATCTTGGAGAGCTCAAACATTGTCTGCCGCTCTCGGGGGGCAAGGTGGCTAAATTTGTACTGCACAAAGTTAAGTACACCCTGAGAAGGAGGGAGGGGGACAAAAGCAGAAGGGCTGCTTGAACGGCCAGCAGAGGTATGTCAAACACAAGCCAAGGCCCTCCCCTGTCTGGGAAATCCTGCCGCTTCCAACTTCTACACCCACCCTGAGGCAGCAAGCACTCTCCTCCTTTCTTTGAACTTCTGCTCTCAAGAACACTTTTCACCCCTATGCTGCCCCTCAGCTCTGCTCGTACAAGCCGTCCTACCTGCTCAATGTTGGGCTTCTCAAATGGGGGGCTGCCTAGGGATCCCTCCACCACTGGTCGAGTCATCTGCAGGATGCACTTCCGCAAAAGCTGTAAGAGAAATGGGGAGAAACGGGTAGCAGAGCTCAGGGAGCCAGATAGCAAACACACCCAAATGTCCCGTCACCTTCACTCTTTCACGCCATGAAAGCTCACCTTGAAAAGGTAGAAATAGACCTGTTTGGTGTCCGTGTCCTCCTCCTTGTGAACAGACATGAACAGATTTTCTACATCCACTACCATTCCCAAGAGCCGGTTAATCTCATCCTCTGACACATTCTCCAGGTGGGACACATGGTCGGCTGCAAGATGGTTACATCAGGGTTAAGAGGAATAGATAGACGAGATCCACAGGGCTTGATTCCTGAACCACCTCCTGAGTCCTTAAAGGTCAGGGAGACCCAATGTTGTCAGTTCCCACATCAGCCCTTTGGTAGCTCCCTGCTTCTTCTGGGAGGCAAACTTCCTTTTTCCTTCCTTGGGACAGACACATACATTCCCAACCCAATCTGTCCTTAGGAAGTCTCTCTGGTTTCCCTAAGAGGCTTTATAATACTTATGTCACCCTATCCAAACAGGACCTAGCACCTGCCCTCCGCCTCCCTACCCCCGTCCCAAAGATGCTGCCTGCCTTACCCAAGGGGTGCTCACAGCTCCGGCACAGCTCGCTCAGGTTGGCAGCTGGCTGCTGAAGGTCCATGCGAGGTGCAGTAGGGGGTTTGGGGTTTTTCCAGCCATTACATTTGCAGGTTTCATTGGCCTGGAGGCGGAAGGATAAGTCAGTTGATGCTGTACCCCAAGCGCCGGGGCTAGAGCTTCGCCCCGAATTCCCACCCGAGCCCTTGGATGCCCCAAGCCCCGCCCCTTTCACCTAGGCCCCGCCCCCACCTTGCAAGCTGAGAAGACCCCTAGTTTCTCAAGCTTCTTGGCACGCGGCAGCCCCCGGACTTGCGCCTTCCTCTGGCTAGCGCGCTGCTGCTGACTCAGGCCAGGCCGAGCCGGATCACCCCCACTCCCCGGTCCCCCACTTCCTACCCCGGCCCCCCCAGTCCCCGTGCTCCCGGCTGGAGCTGCAGCTGGGACAGGGGCTGGTGCCGAAGTAGGAGCCGGAGTGGGGGCTGAAGCCGGGCTGGGCGCAGGAGTCGGAGTTGGGGCAGGGGTTGGGGACTGAAGGGGCCGAGGTTGCGCGGCTGGGGCCGGGTTTGGGGCCTGGGAAGGTTCCGCCATGGCCTCCCCCGCAGCGGAGCGGCGCCGCGCTCCCAGCCCTAGGGCCGCATGGGCAACCGGTGCATAGTGCGCAGGCGTCGCTGCCCCGGCGCACTATGGGAATCGTAGTCTTCCCTTGCCGCTCCCTATGCCTTGGCCTTCCAGACTTTTCTGTCCTGTTTCTTGGTTACAGACAGCTAAATGTCGCTCGATTGAGCACCCTAGGTTGATCGCTACTTTATTCCAATATTCCTTAAACCATCCGGGATAATGACAATTGCTGTCCTCTTGGGGACAAGAGAAACCCGAGAACACAGGCAGTCTAGAGGATTTCTGGGTTCTACCTTTCTAAAATCCATAGGAATTTAGAACAAGCCTGGACCTGGGGTTGGCTCCCATACTGCCCCGTATGACTGCAGACTCAGAATTGCAGGTACAATAGAGATGGGATGTAGCATTGATTCTACATCTTGTGCTGTGTGGTGCTGACACAGATGAATTAAGTGATTCGGCATTTTCTGTGCTTCAGGTTAAACTGTTAAACAGGAACAGTTTATTTTTAAAAGAACAGAGGCATAGTTGTGGGCCATGCTGAGATAGAGAATGAAGCTCAACCCCAGCCTACGGCAAGGGTGTGTGAGTGAAATAGAGATAGAGACAGAGACTGAAATACTGAGATTGTGTGTAAAGGAGCGAATTTTAAAAACCGAAAGTGGCCGGGCGTTGGTGGCACACGCCTTTAATCCCAGCTCCAGGGAGTTCGAGGCCAGCCTGGTCTCCATAGTGAGTTCAGGACAGCCACCAAAGCCACGGGGGAAACCCTGTCTTTGTAAAACAAAAACAAAAAACAAAACAAAAAACAAAACCAGCCTGCAGGTACGGAAGGCTGGAAAGGTACTGATTTCTGCTCTATGAATAGGCAAATATGACTCGCCCTGCTTTAAAGCTGAACGAAGATCTCTGCATGCCCTTCCTCTCCTCTCTTCATCTTGTCCTTGACCTTCCCCTCCCCCCCCCCCCGCCCGTGGGGGGGATGTAAAAAAAAAAAAGTCAGAGAAATACCCATTTTCTTTTGGGGGAGGGGTCGAGACAGGATTTCTCTGTGGTTTTGGAGGCTGTCCTGGAATTCGCTCTTGTAGACCAGTCTGGTCTCGAACTCACAGAGATCCACCTGCCTCCCCTCCCGAGTGCTGGGATTAAAGGCGTGTGCCACCACCGCCCAGCATGAAATACCCATTTTCTTTTCCATGTCTTAGTTCAGGACTCCGAAAGGTCATGGGGACACTACTGTTCTTCCAGAAGACCTGTAAGGTCCCCTGTTCTGGCTCAGTCCAAGGAACAATTTTCCTTGCCCCAGGCCTGATTTTTAAGAAGGGCAGGGCAAGGCAGGGCAGACCTCTTCAACCTTGTTGCTCAATCCCATCTGGGGTGGGGGAGCTGGAATCACGCATCTTCAGGTGATTCAATTCCCACACAGCCGCCCGCGCTGTGACGTAGATCGAGAAGGACCCACAGAGGACCATGGTCCCAGACAAAAGCAGCAGCAGGAGACTTGGTCACTAACAACCTGGTGTTTGCAAGGAAGGACAAAGCTGACATGATCTCTGCCCCTGTTTGCCCCTCCGAACGTGAAGAGTGGGCGGGTCCTTCCTCTGCGCATTCTCCCAGAGGATGGGGGAGGGGCTCTCGTGCCCCTCGTAGCAGTTGCTCTCTCGGATGCAACGGGTAGGAGGCAGTCACTCCACTGGGCAGCAAGAGCCGGGGGAGAACCGGGTGGCACCCCGATGTCCCAGCGTGGCTTTGACTGAAAGAGATCAAGTGACCACACTACCCGTGAGGCTGCTCAAGAATGATCTGGGTCTGGTGCCGGGCAATAGCTGTGTGGATGCAAGTTTCCAGATGAAGATGGATGCCCAAGGCTTTGCTCCGGAGGATCTGATGGTGCGGGTGGATGGCCAGAACCTGACAGTGACTGGTCAGCGGCAACAGGAATCGAATGACCGGGCCAAGGGCGGTTACCGCATAGAGCAGACAGTACACCGGCAAATGCAGCTCCCACCCAACTTAGATCTTGCAGCCATGACCTGCAGCCTGACACCCTCTGGCCATCTGTGGGTCCTGGGACAAAACAGGCCACTACCTCCTCCTGAAGCCCCAAAAGGCCAGGCCCCGAGACTCAAGAGCCGGGGACATAAGGGCTCCAAGTGATCCTGACCCATTAAACAATCGAGTTGTGCAACAGCCTTAGGAGTCCCTCAGCGTTTTTCCTAGGGGTGGAGGGTTGGAGCTGCAGGGAAGAGGTGGCCAGGGTAGGCATCTCAGCTGGTAGCAAGTAAATCAGGCTTCTGGCCCTGAGATAAACTGGAGGGGAGTGTGGACTTAGCTCCAGCAGGGAGCAGCAGAGGGCTGGGATGACCTATGTCAACTTTCGGAATCAATGGATGGTCCTGAACCAAGATGGACAGCGTTGAGCCTGGCCAGGGTGCTGTGGAGGACAGGCGGTGAAGGACTACAGCACTGGCCTTCTGATCAGTCCTCAGTGTTCCTCTTCAGGGAGAGGACAGAGATGGGTGTCCAATCCTAATGCAGTCCTACCCAGAAAAACAGAAACAAAACCCCTGGAGGTCACTACAGACAGCAACAATGTTGAAATACAGGTTGCATATCCTTTAATGTAAGTGAGGGGAGCCAGGGTCAGCCCCAGGCCAGGCCCATCCTACACCATCAGAGCTGCCAGCAGCAGGGCCTCTTTCTTTCGGTTACCATGACCATGACCACGTCTCACGCATAGAGGGCAGAGCCATTTAATCAGACTGGATGATTCATTTATATTAACTTCAGGAAAAATAGAAAGTATATGTGTGGCCTGACAAACTGCCAGAGAAAGACGAGGAAGACAAGTGTGAGGTCGATCGATCGGCTGACTATATTGACAAGATACTGATTGGTTACATGTTGAAGAAAACATACAATACAAAATACAGAAAAAGTTGGTTCCATCCCCTCCCACTCCCCCCTTTACCCACCCATCCCCAAATACTCATCATCGTGATTTGGTCAGAACAGGGCTCAGAGCCAGAGGTCAGGGTGACCGAGGGTGGAGGGGTCCTGGGCCATGGGTGTGTGGCTGTCACAGATGATGCTTATGTAATGCAGCGATCTCTCTCCCAGCTGGGAGTCAGATAGGGAGGGTCTGCAGCCTGAGGACAGCCAAATGAGGGAAGAGCTGCCTGTCCCTTCCCCAGCCCAGAGCCTGCCTACCACCCGGGGACCAAGACCACTCCCAGCAAGGTAAGATGTGGGTGTTCTCTCCAGCAAGAAGGAAAGAAAGGGTAACTGCTCCAACCCTGTCCCCACAGACCAGGGGCACAGAAGTGTGGCTTCTACCAGCAAAGGGCAAGTGGGGGAGCAGTCGAAAGGGGGCTGGGAAGAGCAGAAGATCATATATATTAAAAAGTGACTTAAGACTTAAAATCGAATTAGTATTTGTACAGAAAGGTGCAGGTGGAATAACTCCCTCCGGCCTAGGATCAAAGTTACGTGGAGATTCATGATGGACCCCTCCCCTGCCCCCAGTGGTGGCCCGAGTCGTTAAGTGCGATTGGTTAGAGTGGATTCCAGTCGGGTCATTCTGGTGGAGGAGTGGGGGGCAGTGGCAGGCAGGGGGCTCAGTTGCTGCAGCACTGGCTCCGGCTGGCTGGGTTGCTCTCCTGCAGATCCACACCTCTGTTCCGGCCTGGAGCACCAGCCGCATTCTGGGGCTCGTTCTTGGGAAGCTTCTTAGCTGTTTGGGAGAGAAGGGAAATGCACCTGTGGGGACACCCCAACATTCTCCCCTAATCAGTGACAACCAGAATCCTGGAGGGCTTGTGAGCTAGGTAAACCGGAAACTGGAGTACAGAGGTTAAGAACCTGTCTAAAACTAGAGTGACACTTTTCACTGCCAGGATTTGAACCCAGGCAGAATGACTCCTGAGGCAAATGAGCTAAGGTCCTATGGGGGAAGGGATGGCAATGGACGGCTCTGACATGGGCAGGGAGTATAACATTGAGACTTTGGCCCAGGCTTTAGAAACGTGTGCATCTGAGAGTCAGCTAGACGACAGTTTTATCAGATAGTTTAAAATGGTGAAAGTTCTGTTAGTGAAGGCCCACAGACCCACAGACCCACCAGCACTCAGGGTTCTACTCTGCTTGGGAGGTCAGGGAGAGGTGATTTACCTATTGCCATGAAAATTTCATTCACATTCATTGCAGTCTTCGCTGATGTCTCCATGAACAGCAAACTGTTGTCATCTGCATAGGCTTGTGCTTCCTGATTCAGGAAAGGGAGGAAGAGTGTGGGAGTTGAATGTTGGCAGACGGCAGGGGCCAGGGCCCAGGATAAAATCTTCCCTGGTCTGGGACCTTATAAAACCAATTGACTGGGCAAATGCAGGGGTTTCAGGCTTAGGGCTCCCTTGTTCTGGATTTTCCCAAATACTAGCATCACCTATCCCCACTCACACTGTACCTCCCAGTTCACAAATACTGGCAGATTCTTATTCAGCTTCCCGCTGGGCAGTGGTGATGCACGCCTTTAATCCCAGCACTCGGGAGGCAGAGGCAGGAGGATCTCTGTGAGTTTGAGGCCAGCCTGGTCTACAGAGTGAGTTCCAGAACAGCCTCCAAAGCCACAGAGAAACCCTGTCTCGAAAAACAAACAAAAAACAAAACAGCTTCCCTAGGTCCACTTTGCTTGCTCTTCAGAATTACTAGGCAAGATATTCTTCTAGAAAGAGATCCTGCAAATATACTTGCACATCTGGGCAAAAGCATGCGAGTACATGAATGCTGCCTGCAGCACTGTTTCTAGCCCTCAACTGTTACAAACAGCCTAGGAGGCCATCAGTTAGGTAAAGGATGTGGTGTGTGGTGGCTCACAATTGTAATCCCAGCACTTGGGAGGTGGAAGAACAAGGTACAGGAGTTCAAAGCCTGCAGCTGAGGCTATATGCTTCAAGAGATACTTCCTTCCCTACTCCCTCCCCCACAAACACATGACACTAACATACAGTACATGTAATACACAGCATATTCCCATCCATCTGTGTAAAGAAAAGGATTCATAAATGTATACATTTGCCGGGCAGTGGTGGCACACACTTTATTCCTAGAACTTGGGAGGCAGAGGCAGGAGGATCTCTGTGAGTTTGAGGTCAGCCTGGTCTGCAGCGTGAGTTCCAGGACATCCAGGACTGTTTCACAGAGAAAGCCTGTCTCAAAAAACCATATAAATAAATGTGTGCATTTTTGGTAAAACAAACTGGGAATTCTGGGTAAGAGATGCTGAGTTTCTAGGATTAAAGAGGCTAAACTCATTCTCTGTATCTTGGACTATTTAAATTTTACTAGATACATGCATTGCCTAAAGAGTACTTCTGGGGCTGGAGAGATGGCTCAGCACTGGCTGCTCTTCCAGAGGACCAGGGTTCAATTCCCAGCACCCACATGGCAGCTCACAATTGTCTATAACTCACAGTTTAGTGAATTTTATACCCTCACACAATGCACATAAGTTAAAAAAAAAGTACTTCAGTTTTAGTCCATTTAGTTTATAAGGTAAAATGTGCAGAAGTGTCACCTGCCCACCCCACCCACAGAAGAGCACCGTAAAGACAGTTCCTTTGTGGCACATGCTTGAGTCACAAGAGGGCAGCAGAAGAAAGTTGCTGCCGCCTGCCACCTTACAGGACCTGAGTGGCCTGGGGAAACCTCCCTCATTGAGATGGCTCACCCTTCCCAAGCTCTGTCATCTCCTCACCTGAAACTCCACGGCTCTCTTGCTGGCCAGGTCTGCCTTATTACCTGCGAGTGCAATGACGATGTTGGGGCTGGCCTGCCTCTGTAACTCCTTCACCCAATTCTTAGCCCGTGCAAATGTATCCTGAAGAGACAGGATCACAGTGTCAAAGGGACAGAGGAGATTTTTACTCTGAGTCACTAGCAAAAAAACTGGCCCAGCCAAAGGCATCTGATAAATCATCTCTACAGATTCTTGTGAGAGCACCCAATGATCAGGAGATCTGCCTATATTCCACTCGGGAATAGAAGACCAAGTGAGAGGGAGGCCTGAAATGAGGCTTTTATAACCCAATTCTTGGGGCTTTATAGAAATGAAGGGCAAAGAGTAAAGGAAGGAAAATCTTTACTGTGTTGGTGATGTCATAGACCACGATGGCTGCTTGGGCCCCCCGGTAGTACATGGGGGCCAGGCTGTGATATCGCTCCTGTCCAGCTGTGTCCCAGATCTCAAACTTGACCGTGGTATCGTCTAAGCAGACAGTCTGTGTGAGGAAAGCCGCTGTAAGAGAAAGGTGGTGTCATTAGGCCAGGGGGAACTGGAAACCACCTGGCTCACTTCGTGTTGCTGCTTCTGGCATGTAGAAGCCTGTCCACACAGGGCAGGTGAGGCTTGGGCTCCTGTGTTGTCTGGGAAGTGCCTGCACTTCCAGAACCATTTGAGAACCACCCTGCAAAGCACAGCAAGGGTCAGATAAGGGAGGCCCAGGCGAACCCTGAGGGCAAGCCCCAAAGGGTAAGACCCCATCTCCTTCTGCTGCCCTTCACAGACCTACTTCAGCTCAATGGCGACTGTGACCTTCAGTATTGGGAAGGCATTCTCACTGGGAAATATACACTGTCACACTGGCAGGCGGTGACTGGGTGACTGGGTGACTGGCTTTCCAACCACTCTTGCCACCTGCCAGCATTCCAGCTAGCCACCATCCCTACTGTGACTGGCCAGCCTGTGGTGAGAACACAGGGTACTGAAGTGAGCATGCTCTGAAGGAGAAACCTGCAGCTGGCACAGACAGGGAGCATGCCCACACACCGGACCCAGCATAGGGTTATAACAGTGCTGTGAGGAGCCTGGGCGCCACCTCACTTCCCCTCTATAGCTCCTGACAGTGCTGAGGAGGCAAGGGGAAGACTGCTGACACGGCCCATTCTGTTTCCAGCTGCCTGGAAACCTTCTACCAAGACAGCAGAGAAGAATGACTCAGGTCCAGGGTGGCCCTGGCCTCTCGAGGTTCACACTGACTACGGATGTGAGAGGCTGAGCCCAGACCCTTACATCCTAAATGCTGACCAATGGGGAATCAGTGACACATTCTGAGCTCCAGAAAGGGTAAAGGTCAGCAGGAGAGGACAGGAAACTCACACTGCCCTGCAGAACAAACAGGACCCTCTGAGAAGCC